TGTTTTCGGAGGAAAACAGGAACACGGTGTACAGTCGAGTCTTAATAGCTTACTTACAACTGGGCTCGTCAGGCTCTCTTCTTGGCTGCAGTGGTTATTATTATATTTACATGCTTCCAGCTCCCGTTTTTGCTCGATGACAACTCGTACCTTTCCACTCCCCTTTTTCTCCCTCCTCGCGCTCACAGACACATAACGTGTATGGCAGTCCCTTCTCCCTGCAGCACGGACTACACTGCCCATGATGCTACATTCTTTAGAGCTATGCTTGTAGCATTCTGCCTGTTAGCTTAGCACAACAACAACAACGAAAAGGCGCTCTCTCACCCAGGAAACACACAGTCGCAGAGAGAGAGAGCATCGCCCTGTAACCATGGCAACCGTAACGCTGCCGCCTGGAACAACAGAACGTAGCTGTCAAACAAACCCAAACAGTCCTGACCCGCGACAATATGAAACAGGAAAGTACCGCAGTGTAATCCATTTATTTCAACAAAGTAACTGTATTCTGAATACCACCTTTTTAAACGGTAACTGTAACGGAATACAGTTACTCATATTTTGTATTTTAAATACGTAACGGCGGTACATGTATTCCGTTACTCCCCAACACTGCCTACTGGTCAGAGGGCCCGGTGGCGCCAGTGTCCGGCAGCCTCGCCTCTGTCAGTGCACCCCAGGGCAGCTCTGGCTACAGTGTAGCTTGCCATCACCAGTGTGTGTGAATGGGTGGATGACTGAATGTGTAAAGCGCTTTGGGGTCCATAGGGACTAAGTAAAGTGCTATATAAATACAGGCCATTTACTGTAATTCATTAATATCAGGATGTCCTAATAGGTCCCTGTAACACATGTAGCGCCTCTACTCAGGACCAGTACACTCTCACTTCAAATAGAGACCCTAGACATCTTACTAGGTTCAGGAGGAGGTTTTGTTTTGGGGACTCACAAAAGGAGTTGGCTTGGAAGTGAATAACTGGGACCTTTATTGCCTCAGTACCATTTATATACATATACAACACAATAACCCAAATTGCACACTAATAGTGCATTTTAAAGGTGAATACATGTAAAACAAAACAAAATAAAGACATTTAAATGGAAGATTTATACTGAACAGTATCAGAGCTCTTGGGAATGAATGAAACAGATTAAAGTGTTCCTGTTGTGAAGTTTGAATTGTCCAGTCTGAATTGTCCTTTAAAGTCGTTGAAAACCCAAACAGGTGTACTGTAGGGGAATTGTCAGTGTGCAAACCCTATTATCCGGGTAGGAAAAGTAGTGCATAGGGCTTATCTGTAATCCAGGGTTGCTTGAATCAGTTTCTCAGGCAAATCCCACAATCCGATCGCATGGCTGGCCACACCATTTCACGATCATCCAGGATCTCATTTGGGCTGTTCTCGCCGTCAGTGGTTCTCCAGAATTCTTCTAGTAGTTCAAAAAAACCAATCTACACAAACAGTGCAGAACAATCAATTTCTTTTCCCATTTTGTGTTCTTAACATGAGCTCATTAACTTCTTTTCCAAATGTATTAATCACAAATGGCATTCCCTTTAGCTTTACCAAGTTACAAGAGTTACAGTAACTTGTTTGTACCAGTATCAACAATTTTATCAAAATTATATCACAACAAAGAACATCAGCAGCTTAAACAGTAATGTAAACAGTCATAGCAATGAAAGCGACATTCATCCTTAAGGCTTACAAGCAAATGTAACTTAATTCAGTGCAAATACTATTAAACTTGAAATATGCTCATATCTATTAAGACATAACCATTCTAATATAAACAGAGCTATTGCTTCTACTTGAATACCTCCCCGATCGGAATATGGCTTCAGTGGGGTGGGGTGGCTAACAGCTATTAGCAGCTAGCATCGCATCTAGCATCGGCATCGTTTAGCTCAAAGCATTCAACACTTATAACACACTGTAAAGAACAACAGGAGAAGTAAAAACAACACGCCAGATTCTCATAGCTCCCGATTGGTTTTTGTTCAAAGGTTTCTGAGCTGAATCAGCTAGTGAAATACATTATCTAACTTAACAGGTAGCTAACGAAAGCGCGTGACTCACAGGGATTTTCAGACACAAATAACTTGACAGACGTTATTCCCTTTGTGGTCAGAGTTCGGGGCCTAATAAAAGGGTACCTTATTAGCATTTATACGTAAAACAATCTGGTCTCATTAACCGGGTTGCAGTATTGCACACCAAGATACTTTTTCCATGCGCTCCGACACGTACTTGACCGCCATCAGAGGGAAAATCTCACAGGAAGAGAGAGGTAATACTTCCTGCGCACTAGACGCAAGGTCATCAGAACACAAGACTGCATCACAGCGCCCCCTTGTGACAATAACAGGCTATAGCCTTAGATTACAAAAAGGGATTTTGAAGCCCTGTATTTCACATGGGTTACACACACACACAGTAACATGCCTTATGTGAGCTACATGAGGCTCTCACACATCAACAAACACTTCACCGAGATGCCGCACTCATTGTTATGGGAGATTTTAACAGAGTGAATCTCAAACGGACATTTCACAACCTTCACCAGCACATCAACTGCCCCACGAGGACATTAGACCACTGCTAGACCCTGTTCAAGAACTGTTACAAGGCTCAGCCCCTGCCGGCATTTGGAAAATCGGACCATTCCGCCATCTTCCTCATACCTGCTTACAAACAAAGGCTAAAGCAGCAACCACCAATCAGGAGGGAGGTCGCTCGCTGGACGGACCAATCGGTGGCCGCGCTGCAGGACGCACTGGATGACGCAGACTGGGACATGTTTCGGCGCAGCTCTGATGACATCAACATGTTTACTGAAGCGGTTGTGGGATTTATCGGGAAACTAGCGGACAACACAGCAGAAAGAACTATCATCCGAACGTTTCCCAACCAGAAGCCGTGGGTGGATAAAAACATCCGCGACGCTCTGAGATCACGCACCGCTGCCTACAATGAAGGGCTCGTCTCCGGTAATATGGACCTATACAAGGCTGCGTCCTACAACGTGCGCAGTGCGGTCCGAAAGGCAAAGCGGAGCTACGGGGAAAAACTAGAGTCACAGCTACGACAGTGCGACTCTAGGAGCCTGTGGAAAGGACTGCGGACTATAACGGACTATAAACGACCAGCTTCTTCAATGATGAATGCCGATGCTTCACTGGCTGATGAGCTGAACACGTTTTATGCTCACTTCGACGCCGCAGCAATTAAAACAACAAACGGCTGCGCGCGCTCGGAGTGCACCAGTGAAGAAAATGCATTCGTCATCACAGAGCATGACGTGAGGAACACCTTCAGGAGGGTGAACACCAGGAAGGCAGCAGGACCAGATGCAATCCCTAGCCGGGTCCTTAGAGCCTGCGCTGATCAACTAGCACCGGTGTTCACGGAGATCTTCAACCTCTCCCTGGCCCAAGCTGTGGTTCCCACGTACTTCAAACAGTCCATTATTGTTCCTGTTCCAAAGAAACAACAGCCCGCTTGCCACAATGACTACCGTCCAGTAGCACTGACTTCAATTGTGATGAAGTGTTTTGAAAGACTGATGAGAGATCACATCACTTCTTCACTTCCTGCCACCATCGACTCACTTCAGTTTGCTTACCGGACTAATCGTTCCACAGACGATGCCATATCTCACCTGCTCCACACATCCCTGAGTCACCTGGACACTGGCAGAGGGAATTATGTTAGGATGCTGTTCGTGGACTACAGTTCAGCATTCAACACAATAATTCCCGCTTTTCACCAAGTTGACGGATCTAGGACTCAGCTCATCACTGTGTCAGTGGATCCTCAACTTCCTCACAGACAGACCCCAATCAGTGAGGGTGGGAAAACAAGTCTCCCCCTCCATCTCACTCAGCACTGGAGTTCCTCAGGGCTGTGTTTTAAGCCCCCTGCTGTACTCACTGTACACTTATGACTGTGTAGCCACATCCGACACCACCTCCATTGTCAAGTTTGCTGACGACACTGCTGTTGTGGGCCTGATCTCCGACAACATCGAGACGGCCTACCTGGAGGAGATTAGGAACCTGGAGACCTGGTGCCAGGAGAATAACCTCCTCCTAAACATCAGCAAGACTAAGGAGCTGATCGTGGACTTCACTACAAAGCAGGCGAGGAATTACAAACCCCTCATCATCAGTGGCACGCCAGTGGAGAGAGTGGACAGTTTCCGATACCTGGGTGTCCACATCACTCAGGACCTGTCATGGTCCTGTCACATCAACACCCTGGTTAAGAAAGCCCGTCAGCGTCTCTTCTTCCTCAGAAGACTTAGAGACTTCCATCTGCCACTGAAGGTGCTCAAGAACTTCTACTCCTGCACCATCGAGAGCGTCCTGACGGCAAACATCTGCACCTGGTTTGGGAACAGCACCAAGCAGGACAGACGAGATCTGCAAAGGGTGGTGCGCTCGGCAGAACGCATCATTCAATCAGAGCTCCCTGACCTGCTGTCCATCTACACCAAGCGGTGCAAGTCCAAAGCTAGGAAGATTATGATGGACCTCTCCCATCCCAACAATGGACTCTTCTCACTGTTGAGGTCTGGGAAACGCTTCCGCTCCATTAAGGCCAAAACAGAGAGAATGAGGAGGAGCTTCTTCCCCCAGGCTATTCGGGGCCTGAACCAGGTGTAGGACTGGACTCTCCCAAACACGTCACTATAAGACTGGACTCTCACACACGTCACCACACGCACCACCACACATTTCCTATAATCCTATAATTCCTATAATTTATAATCTTTATAATCTCTTCTGCTATTTGCACATTCTTTACTGTAAATTCACCCCCATGTCATACTGTGTATGGTTGTGTGTGTGTGACAAATAAAATTTGAATTTGATTTGAATTTGAATAACACTCAGTGTAACAGACACACCCCAACACATGAATGGTGAGTTCTTTGTGAAACAGACATTAAAACAAGCTCTTTCATTCACTAATAAAGAGTTGTGTTGTTTTCAGGGTTGATGACGGACTTTCAGTTCAGGTTACCTTCCCTCATTTTGAAACTGAAGAAAACAGCGACACTCTGAGGCTTTATGAAGGTGTGGGACCAAACAAAGTCTTCACAGGTGAATCCCACAGTCAGTCTGAACAGACCACAACTGCTATCCTTAACCCTATGGCTCACCTCCTGTTTTAATGATTGGCAGCTCAGTTCTCAGGCTCCACCTCTCCTGGAAATGTGTGGCTGCTGACCGACCAATCAACTGTGGAGTTCACCTCTGATGATATCAACAATCTGTCAGGGTTCATAGCCACGTACAGTGCAGCCAACATTTCCACGCTGTCAAGTAAGATGTGATAAACAGACTATTACAAGTTCTCTGAGCGTTCCCTTTACCTGATGTGTTTTTGTGTGTAGACGAGGAGAAGCTCACCTGCAACTTCGAGCAGGGCATGTGTTTCTGGAGGCAGCAGCAAGATGATAACGGGGACTGGTTTCGAATCAGAGGCCCCACTTTTCCGACTTTAACTGGCCCAAGTGTCGACCACACGCTGGGTAACAGCTCAGGTGAGTTTCACGTGGAGATCATTACTACTGAATCATCAGTCAGTATGATTTAAAGATTGACTCCAATTAATCAGTTTGTATTGAATGCCATCAGGTTTCTACATTGTCACTTCTAAGAGTCCTGGCCAATGGGAGAAGAGCTTCAGGCTCGACAGCCTTCCTCTGACTCCATCCATGCAGCCCATGTGTCTGAGCTTCTGGTAACAAAATATCATTGTTAAATTACACCACTGGGCACTCATGTGATATCATCTATTTATGTAGAATCAGCCTGCAAGGATGACAGTTCTTTAAAAGAGAACAAGTAATTCAAACGAGTTTTTTCAAATTCAAATTTTATTTGTCACACACACAACCATACACAGTATGACATGAGGTGAAATGCTTGTAGCTGTGGAATGCAATACCCGACCATTAAATGACAGTGGTTTTACAGTATTTACAATTTACAGGTTATCCAAAATTTACAGATTTAACTTAGAAATTTACAGTAAAAAAAAATGTGCAAATAGCAGAAAGAGATTATAAATTATAGGAAGTGTGCATGAAGAAAAACCAGAGTGCGTGTGGTCATGTGATGTGTGGGAGAGTCCAGTCCTACACCTGGTTCAGGGCCCGAATAGCCTGGGGGAAGAAGCTCCTCCTCATTCTCTCTGTTTTGGCCTTGAGGGAGCGGAAGCGCTTCCCAGACCTCAACAGTGAGAAGAGTCCATTGTTGGGATGGGAGAGGTCCATCATAATCTTCCTAGCTTTAGTCTTGCCCCGCAAATGCCAAACTTCAGAGAGAAAAATGCAGACTTTAAATGTGTCATCTAACTCCAGCAAACATGACACCGCTTGCAAAGGCAACCTGTTGACTACAAAGAGACCTTTTACACAACAGAAGCACATTAAAGCTTCATTTTGAAAAACTAAAAAAGCCAGGATGAACTGTAGAAAAAAAGTACAAATCTTTTTAAACCCATACAATAGCGAAAATTGGATCTGACTACTTGCCAAAAACAAGTACAAAAACCAATACTTCCACCACACACATGAAAAAAAATTCAGTGAATTGGAGGACAGGTTTTATTTTATTCTCTGCTTATAAAAAATAAAACATTAATAAAAATGACCAGAAAAATAAAATTTCAATTAAAAAATAAACACTTCTGTTAAATTATTGCAAAATGTCCATATTGTAAACAAACAAACAAAATAACTAAAGTATTTTGAACTGTCTCCAGCTTTCAGACATAACATTAATGAACCTATTGCAGAGTATCCACATTTTAAACAACAAATATCAGTGAACTATATCGGACTGTCTCCAGCTTTCAGATTGAAAAATAAACACTTCTGTTCAGAATAAAATAAATAAAAATTATGTTTCAGAATAAAATAAACACTTCTGTTAAATGATTGCAGAATATCCATCATATATCCAAACAAAATAACAGTGAACAATTTAGTGCTGTCTACAGCTTTCAGATTCACATAACATTTTTTATTGTTGTGATTTGTCTTCTCGTAAAATTGCGGCCTCTCCAAGATACGTCTCCAAGTCTACACTAGAACCTACCACAACTCTGCCCACCGATGCTGGTGCCTAATCAGCAATTTCATCAAACATGCTGTCCAGACTAGTAGTGGGCTGGTTACTGCGTGCTTTTCTTGAAGGTGGTTCATTCAGGTCATGATGTTCCTGCTTGTCTCCAGGCAACCTTAGCAGCTCAAGTTGCAGAATCTCTTTGGCATTTCCAGCAGCTATGGTGCTGGAAAAAAAACGATGTTTATATTTAAAACAGAGAAAGAAAAAAGTTAGCTGACAATAGGTTAGCATCCTATTTTTTTGCAGTCACACACAGATACATACACACTCATATTCACATATAGATAGCCAATCTGAACGCTGGAGTCTCACACAGTTAACTACACAGTCACAGATACACACAGTTGCATAGAGTCATATTCACACACAGTCACACAATTACAGTCACACACAGTCAAAGGTAAACACACAGGCACACACTCACCTGGGATCGAGTCGAGTGGCGATGCTATAGAGTGGGTTTTCCTCCACATCAGTGAGCCGCGTCCTGACAGCTGCAGCCAAGGTTCCTTTCATTGCTTTGATCCCATGGTCCTCATCAGTCTTCCTTGTTAGAAATCTGTGGAGCACTGTGACTGCTGGAGTGATGTCTGCATCTGCAGAGCTGACTTTTCGAGTTAACTCCTCGAATGGACCCAGAACAGATATCACTTTCTCCAGCAATGTCCACTGGTGAGTCATGAGCGTATCAGGGAGTCCATATTCAGACACGAATATTCCCAGAGCCCGTTTCTGCTCAATCAATGATTGTATCATATAAAACGTGCTGTTCCAGTGGGTCTGAACAGCTTGCTGGAGCCGTTTCTCAGGCTGGTTGATCTGTAATTGAATGTATTTGAGACGGGAGCTGGCCAGAGCAGAATGTTTAAAATGTCCAACTATTTTGTGGCAAACTGCCACCACATCAGCAACACTCTTCAGTGACAGAAGGCCCTCATGAACAACCAGCTGGAGAGTGTGAGCAGTACAAGGTAGGCTGGGCAGCTCACCATCACTCATGGCCTTTATCACATTTTTTGCGGTGTCCTGAAGCACTATGTGGATGGACGTCTTCAGTATATCCCACATCTGGGGCATGCTATTGAAAAGCAGCTGCGATGGTTTAGCTAGTGTGCGAGCCCCTGAACGACTTTGCATGTAGTGTGACTTGATGACGAACAAACTCCTCATCAATCCACTGCGCCGTTAAACTGAGGCGTGACATCGAGCGCACACTGCTTGTCCAAATGTCTGTAGTGAAACTTAAGGCTGAAACCTGATGCATGAGATTATGCATGTGTTTTTTTTACCTTTTCAAAACTGTGTTGGCACCATTATGCCCGTGATGTATGGGTGGCTGGGAATCTCATATTGCGTCTCGAGTATGCTGAGAAGACGGCAAAATCCTATGTTTTCCACGACTGACAGTGGCTGATCATCCAGAGCGATAAACTGAGTCAGAGCCTATGTTATTTTGAACGCCCGTGGATTTTCTCTTGACATTGTAGTGTTGATGCATGTGTGTTCTTGATAAGTCTTCACATATCTCGCGCCAAAACTTCTGAACTGGTGGACAGAACCAAAGAGCGTGGATATAATTGTCCGGTGTATTGGTTTGGCAGTGTGAGCAGTTGTTGGTAGACGTATAACCCATCTTGAACATCCGATAACCTGTATAGTGCACTCTATGTAGTATTTTTTATTGAATTAATTGAAGACTGGGATTTCTAATTAGATGAAAGGTTTTTAGGCAAATCTGAGACCAGAAGTTTAGGTCTAAGTTAACTGATAAATCCGCTTCCCATTTTGCAATAGGAAGTGATATTGATTCATCTGTTTTAGAAAGCATTCTGTATATTTTGGATAGTAATTTGGGGGTTTTAAGAGTAAGAAATTGAACCACACTTGGTGGTGTTTGTAGTTCAACTTGACCCGGTTGAAGATAGAGCGCCTCTTGATTGCTAATAATAGGGTATCAGGTGAGTGGGTTCAGCTGAGTGGGCTGGCATTGTCATGGTCCTTTGTATTCCTATTCCGTACCCTCAGTCTTGTCTCTGTGTTTTTGGCTTCTGTCTCTGGTCAAGTTTGTGTCTCTAGGCCTGGGTCACTGTGTTCATTACTTCCTGTCTTATTTTGATAGTCTCTTGTCCAGTGTGCATTGTGTTCTGCTTTCCTTCCCCTATCTCATTAGTCTGATTTAGTTCACCTGTTTTCCCCAGCTAGGTTCTATCTTCCTAATTACCTTGTGTTTATTTAAATCAGATCAAAGGTTTGAAGAGTGATCCTCACAGTTCTACATAACATTTTTATGTATTTTTACATTTCTAAGTGTTCAACCTGTCCAAGCAATCTGTTAATTTAGTGGCAGCCTTACATGGTATTTTAAGCTGCTCTGAATTAAACTGCACAATCAGCGTACAGATGTGATCTGATTATGGTGAATAACTCTGTGGGCAGGTACCACATGTTTGGACAGGATGTTCACCAGCTCAGAGTCCGGCTGCTGATGGAATCTGATGTTACCATATTCCAGAAAGATGGTGACTATGGCGACACCTGGAACTATGGCCAGGTGACCCTTAACCTGACATCAGAGGCTATGGTCAGTGAAATCACACAGGAAGTCCACAGATCAGTCAGGTGATCAATAAGTGATTCATTGGCATGACCTCTGACCTCTGAAGGTGGCGTTTGAAGCTCTGAAGAAAGGAGGGATGTTGAATGACATTGCTTTGGATGACATCACACTGACCTCTGATGCCTGTGGGCCCGCCCCCCCTGAACCCACCAATGTACCACCTCCAACAACCACATCCCCCATACCAGGTGAGAAAAAAATCCCCCCCTCCCCATACCAAGTAGATTAGATCAGATTAGATCAAATTAAATTAGATTAGATTAGATTAGCAGAACACCGACAGAAGTTGCAGAGTTAGAATATCAAGTAAAGGGGAATGAGGGAGTGCGAGCATAAGCATAAAAATATAGCACATATACACATTTATAAATACAGAATATATAATAGGAATAAATAGGAATACTAGTGAAATATACTCATTAAAGAGATGTAGACAGCCAAAGTCTAATGCACATTTCAACTATTGTAAGTCAAAAAACACTGCAGCTTAGTTGGTCCCGCCCCCCTCTGTCCTCCTGTTTCCCCTCCCCCGCACCTGCAGCAGGGAGTTAAATCGTTTAATGGCGTGTGTATTTATCTATCTATAGTTATGGATGATAGATAGATAGACTATTAGCTTGGTGTTCCAACATTCGAAAGAAGGGACTGCTCTCACAGCTAGAGATTGACGAGGTACAACACAAATGCTACGGCAAGGAGGAGTCAGGATGCCAGGTCAGGGGGGAGATATCATCACCCCCACCCGAGATTGGGTACTAAGCCCCAATTGCGACAAAAGAAGGATCGTTGAGTGTGAGAGGAACTGACCTGAAAGATCATGGCCAAGCTTGAAACCACGGCCCCCCCATAGCCAGTTACCAAGACTACATGAAGTGCCCTCAGAAGGTCTGCTAGATGATGTTAATGCAGCACTACGGATGATACCTACAGCCACGATTATCAACACTAACAAGCTGATCTACACCACGGCAACAGTGATCAATGAGATGCTTGGATATAAGTTGAACAGCCACATGGGGCAGCATGGAGAAGGAGGCTAGAGGCTAAGATCAAGGTAGCACAGAGGGAGGTTAGCCAACTATCGGAGCTGCAGAAAAGTGCGATGAAGAAGGTGCCTAAGAAGTACAGCAAGCTGTCCATACCTGAGGCCTTGGAAACTGCCAAGCAATGACTCACAGCCTTGGCCAGCCACTTGAAGAGGTACACCAGAGAGATCGAAGACAGGAGAATAAACCAGCTGTTCTCCACAGAACCAGCCAAGGTGTACTCTCATTTGCAGGGGAACAATATGAGAACAGCACCACCATGCTGGAGACGGAACAATACTGGAAGAGCACATGGAAGAAGGACGTAACCCATAACAGCAATGCTCCGTGGCTAGTGGATCTGAGGGCAGACCACAGCGACCTCCCTGAACAGGGTCCAGTAACCATCACAGTGGCAGATATCCAAGAAAGGGTCTCCAGTATGAAGAGTTGGACAGCACCAGGGCCAGACATGGTTCGCGCCTACTGGCTAAAGAAGCTGACTGCACTCCACGAGCACCTGGCAGCACAAATGAACCAGCTGCTAGTTGACAAGAGACACCCAGAATGGCTAACCAAAGGCCAGACAGTCCTGATCCTCAAGGACCCCAAGAAGGGATCGGTCCCCTCCAACTACCGACCAATAACCTGCCTCAGTACTACATGGAAGCTCGTGTCATAGCGGCTAAGATGAACAGGCACATGCAGAGGGTCAGGCAAGTCCTAAGAAGTCAGCACACCTACGCCCTGCCCGTGATCAGGTACCCTGCTGAGATAATAAGTTGGCCAAAGGAGGAGATAGAAGCCACTGACATCAAGACAAGAAAGCCCCTTACCATGCATGGAGGGTTTCACCCCAAGTTCAGCACCCCGAGGCTGTACGCTAAGCGGAAGGAAGGAGGCCGGGACTGGTGAGTGTCAGCACCACGGTCCAGGATGAGACAACAAACATCCACAAATACATCAGTAAGATGGCCCCAGCCGTGCTCAGTGAATACCTCAGGCTGTAGAAACCCAAGACTGAGGAGGATGAGGAGGCGCCTTCATGGAAGGACAGGCCCCTGCATAGTATGTACCACCAGCAGATAGAGGAGGTGGCTGATATCCAGAAATTCTAAAAGTGACTGGACAAAGTCGGACTGAAAGACAGCACAGAGGCACCAATCATGGCAGCACAAGAACAAGCTCTGAGCACAAGATCCATAGAGGCTGGGGTCTATCACACCAGGCAAAACCCCAGGTGCAGGCTGTGTAAAGATGCCCCTGAGGCAATCCAGCACATAACAGCAGGGTGTAAGATGCTAGCAGGCGGGGCATACATGGAACGCCATAACCAAGTGGCCGGCATAGTGTACAGGAACATCTATGCCGAATATGGTCTGGAGGTCCAGAAGACGCCCCCAAGGGTGGTGGAGAATGACCGAGCTAAGATCCTGTGGGACTTCCAGATACAGGCGGACAAAATGGTGATGGCTAACCAACCGGACATAGTGGTGGTAGACATGCAGAGGAAGACATCCCAAGTGATAGATGTAGCTATACCAAATTTTAGCAACGTCACGAAAAAGGAACACCAGAAGCTGGAGAAGTACCAAGGGCTCAGAGAAGAGCTCGAGAAGATGTGGAGGGTGAAGGTAACAGTGGTCCCAGTGGTTATCAGACCATTCAGTGATCCCCAAACTGGGCGAGTGGCTCCAACAGATCCCAGAAACAACATCAGAGATCTCTGTCCTAGGAACAGGTAAGATACTGCAGGACCCTGAAGCTCTCAGGCCTCTGGTAGAGTACCAGAATTTTTTTTTGATATACAGTCACCTCAAGTTCCTTGAGATAATGCCAAAGAGTGTGCAAAGCAGTAATCAAAGCAAAGGGTGGCTATTTGGAGGAATCTAAAACATAAAACATGTTTGGAGTTACTTCATACTTTTGTTTACTACATAATTCCATATGTGTTCATTCATAGTTTTAATGCCTTCAGTGAGAATCTACAATGTAGACAGTCATGAAAATAAAGAAAAACTATTAAATGAGAAGGTGTGTCCAAACAAGTTATCCCAGCAGAGGAAAACAAAAAGCCCCCGCAGCGCTGCATGCAGAGCTTGCAGTGAGAAACAAACCCCACCCGCATACCAGCTGAGAACCCCCACCACAGACTAGGTGAGAAATAACCATACTTCCATACAGATAAGATATAGCAGGTAAACTGAATCTTTTGTCTGATAATTTAATGATGTCAGCAATTGTCCTTTGTACCAGTCAATTCAATTCAATTTTATTTATACAGCACAAAATCATAACAGTCACCTCAAGGCGCTTTATATTGTAAGGTAGACCCTACAGTAATACACACAGAGAAAAAACCAACAATCAAATGACACACCTGTGATGCTGATACTCTGCTACCTCTGTTCTCTGATCGGTCCAGCTGACTGTGGAGGCCCGTTTGACCTCTGGGAGCCAAACTCTACATTCAACACACCAAACTACCCAGAATCCTATGGGAATGGGGCAGAGTGTGAGTAAACCTGTCTGCTTTCAGCCTACCTGTATTTACACATGATCACTGGTTTCACTTGAGAACGTGTGACGTTTTTACCTGGCAGCAGGTTGTAATTACTCATAATGCTGTTCTGTTGCAGGTCTGTGGACTCTGCATGCTGGGGAAGGTCACAATATTCAGCTCCACTTCCTGGACTTTGACATTGAAGCATCCAGTGATATGGTGGAAGTCCGGGATGGGGCGGGGCCTAACTCCACCTTACTGGGTGAGGTTGTGTTTACCCACAATCCTCTGCAGCTTTATCCTCACCAGAAGACGTCCAAGTGAATTTTACGCTGACCCAAGTGATAACTTCTCTCTTTTTGTCTTACCCAGCTGTTCTCACAGGAAATGGCCCCACCCATGACTTCTTCTCAACAGCCAATCAAGTTACAGTGTGGTTCTATACAGACAGTTCAGTTTCTGGGAAAGGATTCAGAGCCAACTTCACCTCTGGGGTCAACCTGGGGTCACCAGGTGAGCTCATCACACGTGAAGAGACAGCAAAGATGTCATGGTCCTGGGTCGGTGACCCAGCGCTTTAAGTTTATTATTATCATTTTCTAGTTTATTATTATGATGATTATTATTGTTTGAGTTCTCTTTGGTCTGCCTCTAAGTCTGCGTCTGTATCTCTGTCTGTCTATGGCGTCACCCCATCTGTTTGCGAATCTGTCTGTTCAGTTCAGCGTCTTGTCTGGTTCCCTGTGTCTGAGTTTCCTGTTTTATTGTGAAGGTCTGTGTCTTATGTGAGTGTGCTCAGTTTACTATTCCCCTGTCTCGTCAGCTGTGATTTCTCCCAGGTGTGTTCCCCTCCTCTGCCTCATCCCTTGATTACTGCCGTATGTATATTAGCCCTGTGTTACCTTTGTTCTCTGTCGCATCGTTAATGTCTACTCACCTTCATTCTGTACTCTGTTTTCCGTCCGTGTGTATCTGCCTGTTAGTTTGTATTTTCCCAGTTTAGTTGGTCCGCTGTTTACCTGCTAATAAAGCGGTTATTTTGAGTTCTACTTCGCCTCACTGAAACCTGCATTTTGGGTCCTTCTCTCCTTGCCTGCCGGTACGTAAACATGACAAAAGATGTACTGATTGATTACTGACAGCTCATGTGACGTTTGAACAGCTCCGTGTGCTGATGGTCAGTTCCAGTGTCAGACAGGAAGTTGCATCCATGGTAACAATCAGTGTGATGGTGTGGTCGACTGTCCCGACAGCTCTGATGAAGCCAAATGTGGTAAGTCACTCATAATCAATACTGATAATAAATACACAGTATCAGGTCATTTTGATTTCATGCTGCCCCCAAAGTGTGTGAATCAAAACAGAATCTAATCATCTGTAAATATTTTATATAATTTAATGTCGGTAGGAGTTTTTTGTGTTTGTGGGTTGGTGTTGGTGGGTGTTGGTGGATGAGCTCATCGAGCAGATGTTCACTAAAGACAGTGACAAGGAAGTTCTCTAACATCTTAAATTAGTCACGTGACCCCAGTTTGTCCACAGCACCTGTTCTGCTTCAGGTTTTAAGAAATTTGTGTATCAGTTATGTTGCAGGTAAATGGTTCCAGTCGGCTTCAGGTTCAAATTGTCTCTTCTCTGTTCACGGTGTGCACTGACACCTGGAGCTCTCAACTGTCTAACTTCACCTGTCAGTACCTCGGATACAGGTAACTACTTCTCTCTGGAAACTTGAGGACTTTAGTCAAACTGTTTGAGTGTTAAACAGTTTGATTTTTAAATACAGAAATCCTGGAAACTTTGAAGAACAGCTAATTTTTTCTTACATCTGTCTGTCAGGTGAGCCTGATTGTTCCAGCTGGACTGAAGGTTCCAACAGAAACAGGAAATGTTGAAGAGGCCCGTAGACTCAGATCTGGTATTTGTTGCAGGTCCGGGAAGGCCTCGTTCCTGCCGGCTCAGCCACAAGACTCGCCGTTTGCTCTCATCACAATCAGCAATGATGGGACACTGAAAACCAACATCAGGTACCAGAACCAAACCAGAACTAGGGCGCCTTTCAGAAACCCAAGGTTACCTTACAAAAGAAAAACTAAAAAGGAAAATAGTTATTAAAATACATAAAATAAGTTAAAATTGCTTGACAACAGACAAAATCAGCACTAAAGCGAATAAGCAGGCTTGAACAGATGTGTTTTGAGCTGTAGATAAGGGAAGAGAGTCTGCATTTCTTGAGGCTGGTGGAAGAGAGTTCTAGAGCTGGGGAGCTGAACCGAAGGCTCTGTTCCCCATCGTGGTAAGACAAGCAGCAGGAACCACAAGATGAATAGGAGGTGAGGATCTGAGAGGGCGGGAAACAGTGGTGATATGAAGCAGATCACACAGATAGGAAGGAGAAGCTTTGGATACACTTATAAATAATAAATAAATAATAAATAAATTTTTATTTATATAGCACCTTTCTAGACAGAATCACAAAGTGTTGCACATAAGATAACAAATATATCAAAAGGTAAAACACTCAATATAAAGCAGGCAGAAATTTAACCAAAAACTGTTAAAAAGGTGAGTTTTTAGTTGTTTTTTAAAAAAAGCTACAGAGTCCACAGTTATTAATGTATGAGGGAGAAAGTTCCAGAGTCTTGAGGCCACAGTGGCAGAAGCTCTATCACCCATTTGTCTGTGAAGGTTCTCAGTCATCCAGGTCATCGTAGTCTAAGGAGCTTGGAAAGAAAAGCGTCTGGACTTCTTTGAGTTGCTTGAAGACGTTTCACCTCTCATCCGAGAAGCTTCTTCAGTTCTAAGGTCAAATAGTGGAGAGTCCCAGATTTAAACCTAGTGGGAGTTTCCCCCCCACAGAGGGACAAAAGGACCCCCTGATGAGAGCCAAGGTGTGAAAATGGGTGTGGGTCACAATCAGCCATATCACCCTTAGTTCTCATCTTAGTCTGTTTTATAGCAAGTAAGCCCTGATCAGATGACCTCAGGGACCTGCTAGGGACATCGGGCTGTAGCAGATCAGAGATGTAGGCTGGTGCCAGTCCATGCAAGGCTCTAAATGTCAAGACCAGGATCTTAAAATGTACTCTAAATTTAACAGGAAGCCAGTGTAGCTGAAATAGCAATGGTGTCACATGTGAATACTTGGAGGATTTTGTCAGGAGCCTAGCTGCAGCGTTTTGCACAACCTGCAGACGATCCAGAGAACCTTTGCTTAGACACATTAACAAAGAGTTACAATAATCCAAGCATGAGGAAATAAATGCATGTATAGCTATCTCCAGTTCAGGGCAAGTTAAAATAGGGCTTAACTTAGCCACATTTCTTAAGTGATAAAAACAAACCAGAGATTTCACATGCCCATTAAATGTGAGAGTCGAGCCCAAAGTAACACATAAATTCCTGATAGAGGATTTAACATACACCGAGAGAGGACCAAGGGCTTCCACTATCTGGGATAAAAATCTGTCCGGAGCGCATACGAGGACTTCAATTTTCCCCTCAGTGAATTGGAGGAAATTTGCAGCCATCCAACATTTGATGGAATCTAAGCAGTCATTCAGAAGCTGAAGCTTAGATAAATCCTGGGGCTTAAAAGAGATGTACAACTGAATATCATCAGCATAACAGTGATAAGACATGTCCTCAAAAGAGCCCATTATGTGCTGGAGGGGGAGAAGATATATTAAAAACAATAAAGGCCTCAAAACCGAACCCTGAGGGACACCATAAGTAAGGGAGGTAGAGGATGACCTAAAACCGGAGACCACCACAGAAAAAGATCGGTCACGTAGATATGAGGAGAACCACTCCAAGGCAGTACCCTATACACCAACCCAGTGTTTAAGCCTTTCGAGGAGAATGTGATGGTCAACATTGTCAAAAGCCGATGTGAGGTCCAACATTAGGAGGACCAAGTATTTTCCTGCATCATTACTCATCAAAATGTCACTACAGACCCAAAGAAGAGCTGTTTCTGTGGAGTGAGCTCATGGAAAGCCGGACTGAAACTTATCAAAAATGCTATGTTTGTCCAGAGCCGCTATAAGTTTCTTAGCCACAACCTTTTCTAGAAGCTTAGTGATTAACGGTACTTTGGAGATTGGTCTGTAGCTGCTCCAAACAGAGGGGTCTAGCTGAGGTCTTTTTTAAAGCAGGAGAATAGCAGCATTTTTTTAAAATAAACTGGAACTATACCAGACGCCAGTAAAGAGTTGATTAGAGTGAGCACAGATGGACCAATAACCAGAAGACATTTTTGAATAATGATGCAGGTACAGTGTCAAGAGGACAAGAGGATGCTTCCACTGAATTCACTAGTTTTACCAGCTCAGGTAGTGAAACAGGAGAGAAAGTATCCAAGATGACGGGCCAAGATGGGGTGGAGATTGAGATAACAGGTGCTGAATGACAAGAAGTTATTCCTATGTTATTAATCTTTGCAAGCAGAAAATAAAGAAAATGTTCAGTCTTCATTAGATGAAATAGGAGCCACAGGTAGAGCAGGAGTAACAATGTCACTAATGGTGTTAAAAAGCACCTTAGGATTACCTCTGCTCTTTGTAACCAAATGTAAGAAATAGGCAGCCCTCGCATCTCTGATAGCATTATTAAAAGAAGCTAAAAGGTCCTTTAGGTAGAGGAGATGAACATTTAGGTGAGTTTTCCTAAATGTATGTGAGAAGTAAGATTTTAAAGTTTATCCTGGCTTCTATGGATAACCAGTGAAGCTGCTGAAGAATTGGGGTAATAGACCTGAGCTGCACAATTTTGAAGAAGTTGAAGTTTATGAAGGGATTTATTAGGGAGACCAAATAAGAGGGAACAACAGTAATCAGTCCAGGAAGTACTAAGACTATGGACGAGGATGGCAGCAGTATGGGGAGGAAGGAAGGGACGGAGTCAGTTAATATTATGTAAGTGGAAGTATTTTCAGTGTTAATGGAAAAACTGTGGGATTTGGTTAAGATAGAGGCTGTGCCAACAAGTAAAACCTGTTTTATTACTGTTAGGTTTAGGAAAATGGGAGGAGAACAATGATCTAATCTCAATAAGACAGTTTGAGAGGGAGGTAGGTGGGAGGGATGAATCGGGTTTAGAAGAAATGTAGATCTGGGTGTCATCAGCATAACAATGAAAATTGATATTATATTTTTGGAATATATGACCAAGAGGGAGCATGTAGATGATGAATAAAAGAGGCCCTAATACCGAACCCTGTGGCACACCAGCAGAGACAGGACAGAGACATGAAGAGTGTAATTTCAATTGGATAAACTGAGTGCGGTCTGAGAGATATGAGGCAAACCAGGCAAGGGGGGTATGACTAATGCTAATGGATGCTAACCGGTTCAGCAGGATATTGTGAGAAATGGTATCAAACGCCACACTAAGACCAGGAAAAATGAGGATGGATAGGAGATCAGAATCAGCTGCCATCAGAAGGTCATAGGTAATCCTTAACAAAGCAGTTTCTGTGCTATGATTGGGGTGGAAACCAGACTGAAATTGTTCATAGAGATTATGGTCATTGAGGTGTAACTGAAGCTGGGGGGGCGACAACTTTTTCAAGAAATATGATGTACAGGACTCTGCCACTTTTCCCTAACCTTTGACCTCACAAAACATGCTCTTGGGTCAGGTCTTTTTCATGACCTTCTTTGTGGATGTTAATGCTTGTTGTGTTACAGTGAAACTTGCCACAGAGAGGAAGTGATGTCACTGGCCTGTAATAACCAGCGTGAGTACTCTCAGAAATGCAGACATGTTTCAGGCTCAGTGAATTTATGTTTATGTATGAAATGAAACGTGTTTCAGCGTGTGGAGTCCGTCAGGTCACAAATGTCTCAAGGGAGGCAGACCAATCAGAGCACAGGACACCTGGTGATGAAGGTGAGAGTATGAATGACCTGAACCCATGATCCTGATCGTGTTTCAGCCTGACTGTAGTCACATTGTTCTAACTGTCAGGTGCTGGCCGAGTGGTGGGCGGGGTTAATGCTGAGGAGGGTGCATGGCCGTGGATAGTGTCTCTTCAGTGGAAGGGACGTCATGCCTGTGGAGCCTCAGTGATTGGCAGTGACTGGCTGCTGACTGCGGCTCACTGCGTTTATGGGTGAGAGGCTCACAGCTGCTGCCTGCATGGGGTGCTAACAAGTGTTAATGTTGATGTTGGACATGAAGACATAGGTGCACGTCTGTCTCTGCAGGAAGAACGTTGACCTCCAATCATGGTCGGCGGTTCTCGGTCTTCATGCTCAGAATGATCAAACCTCAGAGGCTGTTCAGACCCGACAAGTCGATCGCATCATCTTCAATGAGCAGTACAACAGACGGACCAAACAGGCCGACATCGCCATGATGCATCTACAGCAGCCAATCAACTTCACCCGTCAGTAACGGCACAAAAACACAGGTATGGGTGGAGGCAGGCTGCAGGGCGCTGATAAATGTGCGTGTGTGTTTCAGAGTGGGTCCAGCCAGTGTGTTTACCACCTGAAGGTCAGAATTTCACAGCAGGAAGAAAATGTTTCATCGCTGGCTGGGGCCGAAACACTGACGGTAACCAAGCACCAGGTTGCACAACCTTTGACCTCCACAGTCTCGTCCTGTACAGGTCCACCTGTTCTCTATCATAAAGTTCATTACCAATGAACTTCTTCATAACACCTGTACAGGGGGAGGATGCTTTTATAACTTGCGTATTTAAATTAAATTAAGGCTTATTATTATGATTACCTTTTTGGGTGGCGCTGTTACTTGGTTTCTCGCTCTCTGCGGTAGAGTATCACTTCCTGTTTCTGTTCCAACCAGTGACTGTATAAAAGTCATTGGTTTTATACAGTCATTGGTTCCAACACACAGTGGTGTTTTTGTGTAGCTTGTCTGTGTAGCAATTTAATTAAAAACTTATAGATAAATTATTTCATAGTATAACCTTCACATGCTTCATCTGAAGCACACTCTCTGTGTACTCACTCTCTAATTTATAGCCAAAGTATTCACTCACTGTGTCTTTACTGATTCTCTATCTTAGCTTAGCTCGTAGCCGACTCGCTAGCAGCATGGCCTCTTCACCTGTCCCTCCTGCACTTTCCTGCTCATTGTGTCAGTTACACCTCGGCCTCCTTTGGCAGTAATGATACCTGTAACAAATGTAGCATATTTGCAGCTCTGGAGGCCAGGATTACTGAATTGGAGACTCGGCTTCGCACCCTTCATTCACCCGTAGCTAGCCCCTGTAGCTGATGCAGCCGAAGGTAGCGTACTGACTCTGGTAATTGGTCATTCTGTTCTCAGACATGTGAAGCTAGAGACACCGGCAACCATAGTCAATCGTCCTCCAGGGGCCAGAGCAGGCGACATTGAGGGAAATTTAAAACTGCTGGCTAAGGGTAAACGTAAATTCAGTAACATTATAATTCTTATAATTCTTTGCTAAAATAATGTAGTTTTGTTATGATACTGGATTGGGATGTACAATGCTTCCACATCTGCAGCACAAACTCTAAACAAACGCTTTATTCAGGTTAATTGTAAATTCTGTCTCTGCTTGGAAGATAGTATTTTGAATTACATATTCTCCAATATTCTCCCTACAGATAATATTTAATAGGAATGAATGAAACAGAACTGTACTGGTTATTATAACAAGATGTAATTCCAACAATTCAAAATAGATCCAATCAGGATTAGGGAACAATCAAGAGAAATATATTTCCTAAAAAAAAGAAAAAAAAAAACAATTGAAAGGTACAAAATACAGAACAAGTTGCAAAGTGCTTGAAAGTAGTGCAAAAGGACTTGCCCTAACCACTTAGTGGCCTGAGTGATGAGAGTTACTCAGACCATGGCTCAGATTGGTGGGCAGGTGGGCAGGAGAAGGTGTGGGGAATAGTGTTTGTTAACAGTCCGAATGGCTCAGGGGAAGAAGCTGTTAGTGAGTCTGGAGGGACATGCGCTGATTGACCTGAGGCACCAACCAGCAGGTCAAACAGGTGGTGGGCGGAGTGAAAGGGGTCACCTGTGAACTAAGTGTTATTATAGGAGATAGAGTTTTTCCTTTCCAGTCACCTTTCTCACTCACTATGTGTTAACAGACCTCTCTGCACCGAATCATATCTGTTATTAACCTCTGTCTCTCTTCCACAGCATGTCTTTATCCTGTCTTCCTTCTCTCACCCCAACCAATCACAGCAGATGGCCCCGCCCTTCCCTGAGCCTGGTTCTGCTGGAGGTTTCTTCCTGTTAAAAGGGAGTTTTTCCTTCCCACTGTCGCCAAAGTGCTGCTCATAGGCGGTCATATGATTGTTGGGTCTGTACCTATGAAGCGCCTTGAGGCGACTTTTGTTGTGATTTGGCGCTATATAAATAAAATTGAATTGAATAAGGAATAGTCTTATAGTATGGTAAAGGCAGGTTGATACAGCAAAATGGTGCTAGCATTAACACAAGCAAAAAGGAGCTGGAGTGGTTTAACCTGCAGCAGCTAAGACTGAAGCAATGGATGTTGCTGCTGAGCAAGTGATATCATGCTCACCTACAGTCTTATAACTAAGTTAGCAGCTGATAAGTTAGCACATATCAAATTCGGTTCTTTGATATTCTTTTACTGACAGAGAAAGACTCCGACTCAGTGTGGTCAAAAATAATTATTATTTTATTCAAGCATTACTTTCTGCTGGACCCTTCAGTGTTTTAGGTCAGTCCTGCTGTCTGTTTGTTGCCTGCTGTTAATTCTTCAAGTTCACGGTGTTGCTCTGTCTGTCTTCAGGAAGAGATTGACCATCCTTTAAGCTTCTTCTCAGGATAAGGACAGGATGAGCGGTGAAGCTGTGAAATTTCAGCCAAAGCCTGGACTGTTTGTCGTCCCAATTAAGTTAAACTATGATTTTGTTCTGGCGGCTGTACTGTTCCACGAGGCTGAGCCAAGTCCATGGGCACCTGTATTAACACACTAAGACATTTATTTAATATCATTTCCTTTCATTTCTCTAATTCTTCTATCTAGATTTTAAGACATCTTTCTCTCTCTCACGTTGCACACACATCAGGCAATTTCCTGCACACTGCCTACAAACATTTCACTTCCTGTCACAGACACACACACTCTCCCAGTGCTTCTGTGCTTCTTACAGACACACACACACTTCACTGCATTTTCATCAATTTCTACAGCCTAATCGAACTCTTGTTTTATGTTCACACTCTATATACTGTACCCTCTGTAATTCTACTCATTTTTATATAAAAAGAATGCACCCTCAGCCACACACGCAAGCTGAACAGCTTCACACATATATATACTAAGCTCTTTACATTTGCAAGCATTAACCAAGAGAAATCCTTCGCATCAAAGTCCTCAGCATAATTAGCAGAATTCCTTTAGCACAAATCTTCAGCACAATTAACAGTTTGTCAACACACGTCAACATTCTCTTAGCGCAGCTCTGCAGCACAATTCACACAATCCTTTCAGCAGCATTTTAGCACACTTCACTCAACTCATTTAACAAATCTTCTCACACACACGCCACACCCTTTTCTATCACACTTTCAAAACAACATGCACTTCTGACCATTCATCCAAAGAACAATTTTACACTTCCCTCATATATTCACACGTTTATAAAGACACCAAATGCCAAGATACATTATTTCCATTTCCATAACACACTTTACATCATCTTCCCTGGTACCAGTTTTCCTACACAATTTCGACAACTTTAAAAGCCTATACGCCCAGGTCTCACCTTGCTGATCAATTAACCCGTTTCTGTCAGATTTCTAAGTCCTATATTAATTTAAAAGCGTTTCCCGCAGCTTGACCGGAAGCTTTACTTTCTTGGCTCTCTTCGCTTCACCCGCCACTCTACATTGAGGTGGTCACGCCTGAGGCCCGGCCTCTTCACTCAAACAATGCACAGAAAGTGGTCCCTGACCACTGGCCGTTAACCAAAGTCCCAAGTCTTGGCAGTGGCTAACTGAGATGACCTGACGCTGCGGGACCTTGCCCTGCATCCAAAACAAGGGGGGGGTTCTCACCCCTGAACTTGTGTGCACTCTTAGGAGTCCCACTCCAGTCCTGAAATTAATTTAACTGGGACTCTAACCACCAGTTTACTGATGTCCAGGCCTAGCCTTCTGACCAAAAGGGACCAACCCTGAAACAAATGCTCAATTCCCTACTCTAATCTGTTTTTCTTGGCTGACACAACAGAATTCACATTACACACAACCCATCAACTTTAAAATTTACCCCAACATTAACAGCAATAAATTTTCATTAGATATTTCCCCAGACTTTACTTTTATTGTCACAAATTACCCCAAAATCACCATGGACATTTACCAGAAATCTACTGAAACAATTTTATAATTTAGTTTAATTTCACCACTACCGAGCCAATTTAATGGTGAAGATCATTAACTCGGCGAACAGATAATTTAGAATTCATCCAATACACACACTTTGCTTTTTTTTTTAAAACAAATATTAATTAATTAAAATATTAATTACATTACCTACCTTTAAATTTGGACCGGTCCTCTGTTCGCCTCATTTCACGATCCCACCTTGGACCAAATTTGTCCTCTCTGCCATAAAAGAATCCAGGTTCACAGCACCAATTATCAAATTCGGTTCTTTGATATTCTTTTACTGACAGAGAAAGACTCCGACTCAGTGTGGTCAAAAATAATTATTATTTTATTCAAGCATTACTTTCCGGAAAGGGATGAGCACAGGCCAAATCCTGAGCAAATCTATAGCATTACAAGCCAAATGCGTATAATATAGTTCTGTTATACGTCACACATAGTCACACATAGTTTCGATCAAAACAACTCCTGCTCTGCACTCTACCTAGTTTCACTTCCTGTACTCTGCAGGCCTGCACAAAGCGTGCAGAGTTTCCTGTCTTACACAGTACTCTGTGACCTTTACCACACATTATAACTCAAAGTGCCGTTTCTTCTATACTGTGCTCTATAAAACAATATAAATAGAAAATAAGCACTAAGAATATATATTTATTCCGTAACACACGCTACCCTCTTGTACAAATATGTCCGCTCTCTGAAGCAAAAAAACCCCAAAATGTTGGGGCTGTTGCACTTTGAAAACCACTGGATGACACCACTGCAGTCATCTTTATTGTAGAGTCCATGTTAGCAGTCACTCTCACTTCCTATCTCTCTCTCTCAGGTTCTCTCCCCAATGTTCTCCAGGAAGCCGAGATTCCACTGGTGGATCAGGATCTGTGTCAACAGCAGCTACCCGAGTACACCATCACCTCCAGCATGCTCTGTGCCGGATACCAAGAGGGAGGGGTCGACTCCTGTCAGGTAACCTCTCACCTGGACTCCAAACATCCACCATAACACAGACAGGGTAATGCTAACGTTTGGGCACCAAAAGATCAGAGCTTAAAGTCTTAGGCCTAAAGCTTCAGCTTATTCAAAACTAGGAACGTTCTAGATCCTCTGACTCCAACAACAGCACAAACATTCAACTCAGTGTCGCAGAGTAGGAGAAGCTGTAAAAACTTTAAAAAGAGTTTTCATCACCTCAGTAGACAGGTGGAGACAGAGAATAAGGTGGAGGGCTGTTAGACAGGTGAGAAGAACCTCTGAGGTGAACCAGCTAAAAGAATGAAGGTTTTACCCTCAGAGGTCCTGAACTAAACATCATCAATTTAATCAGTGATCAGAACTCAGAGCCTTTATCAGGAAGAACCAACCGGAGCCCTCCAAACAGACCCTGAATAACTCTCAGCTCACTGACGAAAACTTACTGACAGAGGAGAAGGTGTTACCCAGTACTTACCGTTCAGATAGTTCGAACTCATGCAAAAAAAACTTTCCTACAATATCAAATTCATTATTCAGCTCATGCAGATGTTTACACACTCTCACCCACTGTATCCACCCGAATGGTGGTTACTCTGTGCTGGGCTGAGTCAGAAACCCTTAAACATCCACCCTATGTCATCAGGTTACTGTACACCGAAGGAGGACACCATTCATATCTGAACAACACACTCTGCATGTCACCTCCTCAGCTCTTCTTTAGACTGCAGGGAGAGATGAAGGTACATGTGCAGCGTCTGAACCTAACGGCAGTTCTTTATATAGAAGTACTGCAGCATTCACTTCAGTTTGTATAGTTCAGTCTTTGGAGGACAAGCAAACGTATGACCCCCTTTTATGGTGGAGGACTATAAATACCTTAGAGCACATGTAGATAACAAACTGTACTGGGTTTAAAACACCGTTGCACTATACAGGAAGGGCCAGACTCTCTGAAGTCCTTCAACATCTGTCTGACAATGCTCAGGATTTTCTATGAGTCTGTTGGGGCCAGTGCTATCCTCTCTGCTGTTGCATGCTGGAGCAGCAAGTTGGGGGTCGCCGATGCCAACAGGCTCAATAAACTGATCACAAACCTAGTAATGTTGTGGGGCCAGACTCCCTTAGGGTGGTGTCTAAGAGGTGGATATTGTCCAAGATAAGGACAATGCTGGACCTCCCACCCACTCCATGACATGCTGGCCACTCACAGGAGCACGCTCAGTGGGAGACTGAGATTACCCATAATACACTACTAAACAACACAGGAAATCATTCCTGCCAGTGGCTGTACAACTCCTCCATCTAATGCACAGCACACAGTGCAGTAGTTACAACCTCACTATCTGCACACGCTCCACAGTAAAATAACAAAGTTTTACAGGTTAGAGTCAAATGTCAGTCACACAGTAATATTCTGGATATTTATAATTGACTTATTTGTATATATTAGAGCTCTTTCTTATATTTTGTAACGCTATAACACATTGTATTATATAATTCAGCCTGTTCCTCTTATCGTCTCAGAGTGACTGTAAACACATCATTTCTTCAGGGATTAATAAAGTGTTCAGATTCTGATTCTTTTGCATGTCGTACTGAGTAAAGGATGAACCTGTAACATGGATGTGACTCTCAGGCTGTGCTCTCAGTGCTGATGGTCTGTAAGCTGTAAGTGTGTAAGTTTAAATGTGGTGTTTTCAGGGCGACTCTGGTGGTCCTCTGATGTGTCTGGATGATGGAAGCTGGACTCTGATTGGTTGGTGTCTCACACACAGACACGCACACACACACAGAATATAGATATAAGCCTCACATTAGGTTTGACGGAACGCTGCTCTCTGATTGGTTCCTCACAGGCGTGACCTCATTTGGCGCAGGCTGTGGACTTCCTCAGAAACCCGGAGTCTATGCTCGAGTCTCAGCCTTTGCTTCCTGGGTCGCTCAGACCCGACGTTCCTCCTCTTCATCACACTTTAAAGATCCACTGTGACCTTCCACGTGTTCCGATTATAAAAGAGTCACATGACACACTAACAGCTGACTAGATGGAAACACATTTCCAAAGAGAAATCAATCAAGTTTGATTGTTTCAAATAAAGATCTGATTAATCAAGTCTATGAAATAAAGATTTTATTCTAAAACTTTCATTATGGCGTAATATCCAACTCTGTCAGCAGGTGGCAGCAGAACACAGTGACCAAAAAGATGCGTTCAACTTTTTATGTTTATCAGTAACAACCAGAACAGAAATGTGTTGAATGCAGAGAAAATATCAAATCTGTGATTCTAAAATCTCTTCTCTGTTTGTATCAGTCTAAACAAAATAAATGAAATTCAACAAATTGAATCCTTGTGATGAATGACAATAACTGGTTTGGTATGCTTAGTTTCTGTTACTAAGACCCTCCGCACCTCCTCCTGTCCCAGCGTCCTCCTCTGTTACTCAAATCCTCTGCACCTCCTCTGTTACTAAGACCCTCCGCACCTCCTCCTGTCCCAGCGTCCTCCTCTGTTACTCCGACCCTCTGCACCTCCTCCTGTCCCAGTGTCCTCCTCTTTTTTTTTTTTTTTTTTTTTTGCCTGTCCCGTTTGGCTCCTTTGCATCAGAATTGTTGTCTAAAGGCAAAGAAAGATGCCCAACGGATTTACTTTACCAAATTGACCATCCCAGCCTTGCCATAATGGTCCATTTGATTCACCTTTTATTGTTTATTTTATTTTCACTTGCTGAATACGGGACAGACTTGACTGGGGGAAAGAAGGGGAGAAAGAAAGAGGGAAAGAGAAACAGCTGAGAAGAGGGACGGGGGAGAAGGGCAAAAGACAAAAACCAACAGAACGAGCAGAAAAAAAAAATACATCTATCGATCACCTGGATCACCTGCTGAGAAAGAAAAAAGAAAGCAAGCAGAGAACAAGAGTAATAGAATAAACAACATCACAATGATATATGGGAATATGACAGTAAATACTACATATTAAACATTATTGTGCAGCACATAAGATCAACAGAACACAGTGTGCTTTGAGGTAGGAGCCAAAAAGGGTGTAGTTTGTGGGTGTGATCACCCGTGTGTACACCTGTGAGCATGGACGCGCTTGTTTTTAAAAGGTTCCTTCATGTGATGATGTGCTAGAGGGTGTGGGGGGGCCACAGCCCCGTCCTCCAGGGCATGAAGCAGGTATGGAGGAGATCAAGACTCCAGACATCCAGAGGCCCCCAGAACACAAGAGACCAAGGAAGACCAACAGAGGGGCAGCCGCGCCACTGTCCCAGAAAGAGCTGAGGAGAGTCCCAGATGAGGGCTCACTCAGCAGCCGCGGAGCAGAAGCCAGGGGGAGTTGCAGTGACGCGCCCGTGAGCTCCGCCGGCAGCCAGCCGTGCCTAAGTGACCGAGCCCCAGGCCGAGAGGCCGAGGGCACCCCACCTCCGAAGTGGCCCGAGCGAGCCCCAGGCTCCAGGCCCCGATAAGCGGCCGCCAAGGAGTGAGCCGGTGTGTACCTGGACGCCCATCCCCGGACACAAAGAACCACCAACGCACCGACACCTGAGGGAGTCCGCCACTGGCAGGGGAAGTGGTGGTGGGGGGAGATAAACCTCCAAACCTTGGGGGGCCTGAGATGTCCCCAGAGAGGTGGCGCCTGATACCCAACCTGACATATAGACACAGACATACAGGCACACACAGATACAGACATCCATTCCCACCCTCATGCTCTCATATGCACTTACTCCACACTCAACCAACGTGGAGACAGACATGAAGAGTGTCCTCCTCTTTTACTCCGACTCTCTGTACCTTCTCCTGCCTGTTTAAATCAACAGGCAGGATTTAAACACATTTGTGACCTAATATTTAATAATCCACATTTCACTGTTCTACTCTTTGGTTCAGATGTGGATACTGTATTGTTCTTTCTTTGTGAATTTTTATGTTTAAGTTGTTTTTTGCTGGTTTTTAGTTTGTTTTTGTCTGTTTGGGAGCTGACACAGTCTCTATGGAGATGGGTTTTTGGGGGGTAGCAGGAGGAGAGAAGCTGCAGAGAGGCGTGTAAGACTGCAACTCTGCTTCCTGGTCCCAACTCTGGATAGTCAAATAAAGTTCATATCAAAATAAAAAAGACCAAACTACTCCTCCGGCAGGGGGCGGTACCTACAGGACACTTTAAATAGGAAACGGAAGCGTTCCTCGTATAGGAAATGACGTCAGTGAGCGTGGTCGCGCAGATTCACCGGTGTTTACAGGTGAGACCGAAAAGCAGCTGATTTTAACGTTTCTGTGGTTATCGATATGCAACGGACTGTCACCTCGATGACGTCAGGCAGAGCCGTGACATAGTTACGACTGACACGTGCGTGTAGAGTCCCAGCTGACCGTTAGCTTAGCTGTTAGCATGTAGCTCCTTAGTAAACAAACAGAAACCTGACCAGTGATCGATACCGGCTGATCAACAGGAAGTGACGCAGACGCGAATCGCGCCGATCCTTCAATGGCTGATCAGCTGATCGCCACAGAAGAACAGTGAGGCTCAGCAGGAACTGAAGCTGTTAGCTCAGTGCAGCTAGCTGGCTAACACTGGCTCTGTGTGACGTCAAAGGTCAGGCCTCTAATCAGTTTGTTAAATTTTTATTTTAGCTCAGAGTTTCAGAATGAGCGGAGGAGGCATACAGAGACACAGCAGGGCCGAGGAGGAGGAGCACGAGGAGGACTTCTATGACTGTCCGGACACGCTGGAGCCTCCTGACCCCACTGCAGGAGGAGAGGAGAGCCAGCAGGACGTTCATTTTAAACACACACAGACTGAACGAGGAGACACAGAGAGGGAGGCAGCAGAAGGACACCGGGGAGAGGAGCGGGGAGACAGACTGAAGGAAGAGGAGGACGAGAAGGAGGTGAAAGCTCCACTGGAGACAGAGGATGTGGAGCAGGGGGAGGAGGGGGTAGACGGGGTGAAGGAGCAACAAGATGGAGACTCCCTGCATGACTCTGACACGGAGCTGAAGGAGGAGGTGAGCCCAGCCGTAGAGTTTGATGATGATTACCTGAGGGAGGTGGAAAAGGAGCTGACCGAGGAGGAGAAGGAGGTAATACCTGCTGACCAGTACCTGCATTGAGAGACATTTAGGTGTTGGCACACGGTGGTAAATCAGAGTTCTTCTTTTTCAGAGTCGACGGCAGCAGAGCATCAGTCTGAAGGAGGCGGGAAACGCCCACTTTAAGAGGGGAGGTGAGTCTGTGAGATCAGCACTGTGGAGCTCCTGCATACTGCAAGGGGTCAGAGGTCACACTATCAGGGTTTCCCGTACACTGTCAAATGAAAGGGGCGGGGCTGGCTGCTTCTGACCCATTTAAAAAGGGCAGTATGGATCATGTGACTCATCTCACACAAACACGAACCCTGAGAGCCGCCTAAACCACAGGTGAGAGTCTGTGTGACCTCTGACCCTGAACGACCTCTGACTCAGACCAGCAGAATCTGGTGATCTGTGGCGGGAAAATAAATTTTGATTGCCGTGAATGATTTTGTGTCTGAGCATGCTCAGCACTGCCCCCTGCACTGTGAGACTTTAACCTGTATCCATGGAAACGTGAAAGATTCCTCTCCCACGGCCTGATGAAGGAGACGTGAAATCAGATTAGGGTGAATGAATGTGATTGGATGAACACGTGTTCAGGTGTGTGCTCTGTGTTTGCAGCTGAATGACAGAGACTTGATCACATGATCACTTTCAGTCTGACCTGCTGGAGCAATCAATATTATTTATTACTGTTGCTCATCAGGAAACTGAGCCGTCTTCAGAAATGGTGATGTCATACATGTTGATCTGTTACCGTGGTGACCTGCTCTGGGCTCTGTGTGTAACATTTGCTTGTTGTTCCCACAGACTGGGCGGAGGCGGGGCGAAACTACACGGATGCGCTGTCTGTGTGCCCCGTCTGTTTCAGCAGAGAGCGAGCTGTGCTGTTCTCCAACAGAGCCGCCGCAAGGCTGCACCTGGTAACATGCTATAAACACGCTAGCTCTATGCCAGTATCGTTGCTAACATGAAGGATGTAGAGCCGTCGGTGTGACAGAAGTCTGGTTCTATGAGTACCTGCTTCACCTCTAACACAGCTTTGTGTTGGTTAGTCCTTTTGTGGCTCTGCACACAGATACACCTCATCCAATCAGGAGGAAGCGTCCACACGCTGTAAACATCGCTCGTTTCCCTCTGAAACTTGGGTACCCCCCTAACGTTTTCTACTTCCTGTGTCACTTCCTGTGTGATGCCCTGTGCGTGGGCATCACACAGCCCCAAATTAGGCCGCTGGACATTTAATGTTGCGACTGCAGTTTGCTCGAGTCACCAGGTTCGTGCTGCAGCAGGTGGGCGTTTCCTCCTGATCGACCAATGAGAGCAAAAGTTTGAAACGTGCAAAACACTGCATGTTAGCAATGATCAGTTATCAGTAATGCCATTAGCTGCGTGCTAACAGGTTAGCGGCGTGCTTACAGTGTGTGTCTCTGTCAGGATCTGAAGGAGCAGGCGATCTCAGACTGCAGCAGAGGTGAGCGATGACATCACACCCCTCCTGGGTAGCAGCGGCTGTGTAATAATTATTCATTGTACTGACTGATTGGCTTTGTGGTTCCCATAGCAATAGCGCTGGATCCTGACTACCTGCGGGCGCTGCTGAGGAGGGCGGAGCTTTACGAGCAGACAGAAAAGCTGGACGAGGCTCTGGAGGACTACCAGAAGGTTCTGGAACGAGACCCAAATAATGTTGCTGCCAGGCAGGCGGCCATGGTGAGTTCACTGACTGTGGGACAAAGCAGAACCAGGCAAGCTCTGTTCAATGTTAAAACCTAAAATGTGGGCTAAAAGCCAAAGAAGCTGGAGTTTACATGAAATCTCAATTTCATTTGTATAATTTATCAGTCTTTAAATTGTGATGCCAGTTAGCGGAGTTTTAGAAACAGGAAGTGAACCCGTTAAAGAGATGACCGGCTGATGGAGTACTCTGTAGGTGAAATCATGATGAATGTAAATTCACTGAAAGTTCTCAAACTAAGGATGTCTGTGGGCTGATGCAGTTTGTCTGTCGTGTAGGCAGGTCACCATGGTAACTGCTGTAGTGTGTTCATGGCGGCGCCAGGTCAGAGTGTTCTCAGAGCCCTGCTGAGGTTACTTCTCTGTAGAAGAAGAGCGCTCGTGTTGGTGCAGATCTTATAGACTTCCTGTGGTGATTAACAGCTTAACTCTTACATGTGAAGGGTCCCCGGTTTGATGCTTGGAGAACACACAGACTCTGGGCAGGCCTCAGACGATGTGGGCGCTGTCAGGAAGTGAAATCAAACACCTGCTGTGAGGGAGAACAGCTGGAATCACCTGCACCATCTGTTTGACACCATCAGTCATTCTCTAACTCAGCTTGTTTTTGTGAGGATGTTCCTCTGTGGATTCAGTCGTGTTTAGAAAGAAATGTGTACGTATGTATGGCGTCACATCGCCTTCCCTGTACTGCAGGCTCCCGCCCCCTGTAACCACACCTTACATAAACTGCCTCCCTGCTAGGACTGGGCTATATTATACAGTTCACGGTAATACCGGTACAATGGCCCTTTCTCAATTCTCAAGTACGCGAGTCCGTAGGGCTGTTCGATATAACGATATATATCGGATGACAATATAAAAACGTTTAAAACAATAAAATCATCACATAAGAATTAAATCAATAAAATCAGGGTCTGACTGTGTCATAAGCCAAGAAGTAAAAACGGGTTTTACATTAAAAGTGGACAGTGAGGGGGCCTCTCTAATGTGCTGGGGCAGAGAAGGCCCCGCCCCCTCTGAGCTTCCTCTTGGACCTGGGTACCTCCAGGAGCAGACCTGGGGGGTAGGTAAGGACGAAGAAGCTCAGAGAGGAAAGACCGTTTAAGCCAGGGGTGCCCAATCCCGGTCCTCGAGAGCTACCGTCCTGCAGCTTTTAGATGCATCCTTGTTCCCACACACCCGAATCAAATGAATGGCTTGTTATCAGGCCTTTGCCAAACATGATGGCATGCTGAAGAGGTAATCAAACCATTTGATTCAGCTGTGTTGGAGTAGGGATGCATCTAAAAGCTGCAGGATAGTAGCTCTCGAGGACTGGGATTGGGCAGCCCTGGTTTAAGCATTTAAAAACAAACATGAGAATTTTAAAATGAACTCTAAGATATACAGGCAGCCAATGGAGTGAAGCCAGGATGGAAGTTATTTGCTCTCTTTTACGAGTTCTGGTTAAAAGTCGTGCAGCAGAATTTTGGACCAGCTGCAGACGAGAGAGAAGACGCTGACTAACTCCAAAATACAGCACATTACAGTAAGCCAAACGAGATGGAATAAAAGCATGGATTACTGTTTCAAAATGCAGCCTGGATAAAATAGGTCTTCTCTTTGCCAAACGCCTTAAATGATAAAAACTGGACTTGACAATAGCCCTAATTTGACTGTCTAATTTAAAATCACTGACCATCTTAAAACCCAGGTTAGTAACAACAGATTTAAAATACTCTGCCAGGGGTCCCAAATCAATAGCGGAGGGTTCACAAGGTCCACTAGGACCAAACAGAATCACCTCAGTTTTGCTTGAATTACATCTTAGAAAGTTTAGGGACATCCAAGATTTAATGTCTTCTAGAGATGCTAGAAGTGGCTTAATAGCAGTGGAAGGATATTCCATGCCTTCTGAGGATGGTTCCCAGGGGCTGTAAATATAATGAAAAAAGTAGAGGCCCTAAAATTGAGAAAAGTTAACACTAATAGTTCTGTCAGAAAGATAAGACCTAAACCATTTCAAAGCAGTACCACGAATGTCTGCAAGATGGTGCAAGCGAGTCAGTAAAATGCGGTGGTCTACAGTGTCAAAGGCAGCTGTTAGGTCAAGGAGGACAAGAACATCACGATTACCAGAGTCACAGGTAAGGAAGATATCATTAAAAACCTTTAAGAGTGCTGACTCCGTGCTATGAAAGTTTTTAAAACCTGATTGGAAGACCTCTAGGACACCATTCTCCTTTAAAAAAAACAATTTTCTCTAAGATTTTAGACATAAAAGACAACTTGGAGAGAGGCCTGTAGTTAGCCAACACAGTGTGGTCCAGGGCAGGTTTCTTAAGCAAGGGTTGTACTACTGCATGCTTAAAATGAGCAGGGGCTACACCAGATATTAAACTGCTGTTTATAACAGTAAGAACAGCCTGGCCTATGCTAGGAAAAATCTCCTTAAAAAATTGTGGTGGGACAGGATCATTTGGGGAACCAGAGGGCCTCAGGTGGCCGACCACATCCTCTAAATAAGAAAGAGTCACAGGCTCAAACTGGTTAAAAACAGCAGAGCAAGGGATCGAGACAGAGGGGTCGGACTCATGAGTGCCCGCGTGGCTGCAACCTTCTCAATGAAAAACACATAAAATCATTAGTTTATGAGAGGCCTCCAAGCAGCCACTTTGTGGAGCATTTAAGACTGAGTCAGTAGAGTTAAATAACACGTGGATTGTGACTGTTGGAGGAAATGATCTTAGAGAAGTATTTTCTTTTAGCCTCTTTGACCGTATCCTGATAGAGGCGCCAGCAGTCCTTTAGGATTTGCAGAGACACCTGCAGTTTGTCCCTCTTCCATCTGCGTTCAGCTCTACGACACTCCCTCCTCACAGCCCGAGTGGCGTCATTAAACCAAGGATCGGTTTTAGCCTTGGGCTTCCTGGTTTTTAATGGTGCCACAGAGTCCAGAATGGTTAGGCAAGAAGATTGAAACCAGGAGCTGAGGTTCTCTGTGTCCAAGGGAGTATGATCGGCGGGGATAGACAACTGGTTAAAAGCAGAGGAGAACTGGGCAGCAGTGGAAGGGTTAATAATCTGACAGCGGCGAACAGGAGCGCTGGTTTGAACTGTAGTGTGTGAAAACACATCATCAAATGATACAGCCATATGGTCAGAGAAGGCAGTGTCAGTCACTTCCACATTAGACACAGGTAGACTGTGTGACAAGACCAGGTCTAGTGTGTGTCCATGTTCATGTGTGGGACCAGGTACGGACTGGACCAGATTAAAAGAGTCAATGAGGCTTAAAAACTCCTTCACCAGAGGTTTGTCAGGGCAGCAGACATGGATATTAAAATCTCCCACAATAAGAACATGATCATAGTTGGGCAGAATCCCAGCTAGAAATTCTGAAAAGTCATTAATGAAATTCTTATTGTATTTAGGGGGACGATAAATAACAGCAAAGAGCACAGAGTTAGAACTTCAAAACACGTGAGCTCAGAACTGGAAGACGAGGGCTGTAAAACACACTGTTTACATTTAAAATCCTTTTTAAAAACAACCGCCGTACCTCCTCCTCTCCCTGATGTCCTTGGTGTGTTAAAATAGGAACAACCCGCTGGTAAAAGTTCGGATAAAATACTGGACTCACCAGTGTTAAGCCAAGTCTCCGTGACACACATGAAGTCCAATTTCCAGGAGATGACGGACTCATTCAGAATAAAAGATTTGTTCACGAGTGATCTGGCGTTTACCAGCCCAATCCTGACAGGCGCCGGGGATGAGGTAAAAGCCCCAGCGGCACAGGGAGTCCGACACAGCGGCCTCAGATTGTCGAGGTTCGCCCGGCGCACGTTGAGCCGAGGAGGACAGGGGTCACGGAGGAGCGGCGCATCATCCTGGCAGACCACAGGGATGAGGCAGGAACCCACGGGGTCCAGGAAACGTTGGTGCACAAAAACTCCAGGAAATAATCTTTGACGGTAGTGAGATGGTGCACCAAAGAGATCTTGAGTTTGACCAGCCGACCACTGCGCCTACCCCGACGCTTCGCCGGGGAGGTAGCATGACAGCAGGGCATAGGCAAGTTGGGATTTGTGACAGCAGCGGACACCATGAATTCTGACCTCCGTTAGAAAATGGAGCTGTATTTTGTCCAGAACTTCGGAGGTTCAGAAGCGATTGGCGATCGTACACCAGTAATGACCCGATTTCTTGAGTAACACACGACAGGAGCAATATAAAAACAAACAAAACTGACAGCGACAGACGAGCAGCCACGTACACCAGCGCCATCTTGAGGTACAGAGAACATTTTTAGTACGTTTTAGTTCGACTTTGCTTTTTAAGTTTTGTGGATATTATACATGGTTATGGTGGGGATACGTCGGCCAGTTTCCACTGGAAATGCCTTTTGGTTAAACTGAAGCAGCTGCTACACGTCTCAAACACAGTTTATTTGATGAGTGTATCCGCTGGGGCTGCAGGCGCACCTGGTCACTTTTACTTGAGTCTGGCATGTTTACATCACCGTGCATGACCTCTGATCCGTCCCTGTTAAAGACAGTCACAACTCTCAGAGCTTCCTCACTCAGTAAAACAGTGGTTCCCAAACTTTTTTTGCTAGGCCCCCCGCACAAACACATCCTCCTATCACACGCACATATTTTGTTTTCAAACTTCATTGCAGTTTACTGTCAGTGACAGACAGAAAACAACGGGTCAAAACAAAACAACCCAAAATAAACAAGATTTGACAGCAAGTAAAATCTGTATTAAAGCGAGATATGCTTCATCACACGTTCTAGTCTTTGGCCTGGAAGGAAGCTGGTTTGGAAGCATATCTGGTGATGCTTCATCCTCTGCTTTGTGTTTGTGTGGGAGCCCCATCAAAACAATGTTCATTATGCTCGCTGCGTCCAAACATTGTTTTGTTTGTTTGTTTTGTTTTCATTCATACCACGACCCCCCCTGCAATGGCTCTGCGCCACCTCCTGCAAAAACACCTCAGCCAGTAAAAGAGAAACGCCTCCTCGTTTCCTACACGGTCAGAGCTGCTGCAGCAGTCTGTGGAAAAATCGTTGAAACAAACACTCGACAGTGTCTCAGATCTTCAAACTTTGCTTCTAGTTCTGACTTCTTCTTCTCCTCCGTCTAACGTGGCGACTACAGCAGCTTCCTGTGCCAGTCTGATGGTGTCACAGTGGCGTGCAGAGCGACCAGTAGGGTTTACCAGGGCCTCCTGTGCTTATTGAGGTTCAGCCCCCTCTGAGGTCAGGGGTCAGCGCTAAGGAGGCGTGAAAGGGACGAAAAACAGACTTACACAGCTGACCTCTCTCTCTCTCTCCCTCCACCTGTGTCTCCCACCCTGTGTCCACCTGTGTGTCTCTATCAGAGGCTGCCTCTACAGATCCAGGAGAGGAACGAGAAGCTGAAGGAGGAGATGCTTAGTACGTATTGCACCTGAACACACCATTAATCAATCATCCATGATTGTCTGGTACGTACCTGTCGGTGCGACATGCAGCTTGGTACCTGTTCAGGTGGAGACAGTGTTTTTCAGCCATAACATCACCTGTGACAGGTGAGAGGAGCCAATCGGTGACAAGACTGAAATGAAATCACATGATCAATCCACATGATTTTAAAGGCACACACAGATCAGACATGAACTCTGATCAGCTGTTGGCTCTGATTGTTCACATTACAGAGATGCGACTTAAACAATAAAAGCCTGCAGCCTGATAGCTCAGGGCCTGGAGTCCTTTCACAATAAAAGCCATACATTAGACATAAATGGAGCTGTGATCTCTGTGACCTCTGACCCACAGGTAAGCTGAAGGACCTAGGTAACATGGTCCTGCGGCCGTTCGGACTCTCCACCAACAACTTCCAGGTGAACCAGGACGCCGCCAGCGGCGCCTACTCCATCAACTTCATCCAGAACCCCAACAACAACAACAGGTGATGATGTCACAGTGATGTCGTTGCTCACAGCTGTGACATCACACCACAGAGCAGCGGTTCACCTGTCTGCTGATCAGTTTAGTTACTGATCATGAAGAAGCCAGTACGGACTGGTTATTGATTGGTGATTGACTCTTAATGAAGAGGAATAAAAAACCTCTGAAAGGTAATCTGTTCCAACCAGACTCCATTCATTTTCTGTCTGATTTAAGCTGCTCTGATGAAACTCTTAACTTGGAGCTTCTATGCGTCACCGCAGTTACCTCTGACGGTGTTGAGCTGGATTAGGCCCTCCTCTGTGCTGAAGCAGTTCCAGCTGTGAGTCTTTATTAATAAAGTAAGCAGACAGGCTGTTGTCTGTTGTGGAAGTTTTCCGTTTAAATAAAGCCTGCAGACGAGCGGTGAGCAGTAGCTAACATTCTTTAATCAAACACAAAGAACAGAAAAAAACAAGCTTGATGAAGTCCCTGCATGACCGCAGGGCAGGTCAGCAGAGTCTCTCTGAGCCTAGCATGGCTCTCAGTTAAATGCGTCTGTGAAGGTTCTCAGTCATCCAGGTCATCGTAGTCAAAGGAGCTTGCAAAGAAAAGCGTCTGGACTTCTTTAAGTTACTTGAAGACGTTTCACCTCTCATCCGAGAGGCTTCTTCAGTTCTAAGGTCAAATGGTGGAGAGTCCAGATATAAACCTAGTGGGAGTTTCCCCCCACAGAGGGACAAAAGGACCCCCTGATGATCCTCTAATCGCCTGAGCCAAGGTGGGAAACTGGGCATGGGTCACAATCAGCCAGAGTTTCGGGTGTGTTCATTGTGAAACCTGGCCCCACCTTATCATGCGAATTCCTGAGGTCAGATGGCCCAGGATGTGAGTGGGCGTTAAGGCGTCTGGGGAGGGATCTCAAAACTGGATTATAGATGGCAGAGAGTTGGTGTCGTAAACCCCGCCTCTGTTCAAAGATGGTCGCTCACAGTGGACATAGATGCTTCTTTCACTCCTCTTTCAAACCATCTGTCCTCTCTGTCCAAAAATGCTCGAAAGAGTGACCTTTGACCTTAAGATGCAGCTGGACTGCTGAGTCTTGTCCTGTGGAGGTGGCTCTTCTTTGTTGTGCCATGCGCTTGTGAAGTGGTTGTTTGGTCTCTCCGATGTAGAGGTCTGAGCATTCCTCGCTGCACTGTACAGCAAACACCACATTGTTAAGTTTGTGTTTTGGCGTTTTGTCTTTCGGGTGAACCAGTTTGTGTCTGAGCGTGTTGCTGGGTCTGAAATGCACCGGGATGTCATGCTTGGAGAAAACTCTCCTAAGTTTCTCTGATACACCGGCTACATAGGGGATGACAATGTTGTTGCGTCTGTCCTTCTTATCCTCCCTCGCTGGTGTCTGATCTTCTTTTCTGTGCCTCTTTGCTGACTTTAAGAACGCCCATTTAGGATAGCCGCACGTTTTGAGTGCTTCCTTTACATGTGTGTGTTCCTTCTTTTTTCCTTCAGGCTTAGAGGGAACACGTTCTGCCCGGTGGTGTAGGGTCCTAATTACTCCAAGTTTGTGTTCCAGAGGGTGATGGGAGTCAAAGAGGAGGTACTGGTCCGTGTGTGTGGGCTTCCGGTAAACTTCGATGTTGAGTTTGCCGTTCTCTTCAATGTGCACGGCGCAGTCCAGGAAAGGCAAACAGTCGTCCTTTGTGTCTTCCCTGGTGAACTTGATGTTTTTATCCACAGCGTTAATGTGCGCAGTGAAGGATTCCACTTCTTGTGTCTTGATTTTGACCCAGGTGTCGTCCACATATCTGTACCAGTGGCTGGGTACTCTTCCTTTGAAAGGGCCAAGAGCCTTCCTTTCCACTTCCTCCATGTAAAGGTTGGCTACAATAGGTGACACGGGGGAGTCCATGGCACAGCCATGTTTTTGTCTGTAAAAGCCTTCGTTGTATTTGAATATGTAGTGGTGAGGCAGAGGTCTAACAGTGTGCAGGTCTGATCGGGTGTGAAGTTGGTCCTGTCTTCCAACGAGCTGTCTTCTTGTAGTCGTTTTCTGACAGTCTCCACGGCCTCCGTGGTGGGTATGCAGGTGAAGAGAGAGACTACATCAAAGGACACCATGGTTTCATCTGGATCCAGGGTAAGTTTCTGGACCTTGTCGGTGAAGTCAGTGGAGTTCTTGATGTGGTGTGGGGTGTTCCCCACGAGAGGTGCAAGGATGGTAGCAAGGTGTTTAGCAATGTTGTAAGTGGCTGAGTTTATGCTACTGACTATGGGTCTGAGTGGGACAGCTTCCTTGTGGATTTTAGGAAGTCCGTAAATGCAGGGTATGGCATCCCCTGGGTAAAGGCGGTGATATGTAAGGCGGTCAATAATCCACACCTCCACAGGACAAGACTCAGCAGTCCATCTGCATCTAAAGGTCACTCTTTCGAGGATGCCAATGTTCACATTTTTGGACAGAGAGGACAGATGGTTTGAGAGGAGTGAAAGAAGCCATCTATGTGCACTGTGAGCGACCATCTTTGAACAGAGGCGGGGTTTACGACACCAACTCTCTGCCATCTATAATCCAGTTTTGAGATCCCTTCCCAGACGCCTTAACGCCCACTCACATCCTGGGCCATCTGACCTCAGGAATTCGCATGATAAGGTGGGGCCAGGTTTCACAATGAGCTCACCCGAAACTCTGGCTGATTGGGACCCATGCCCAGTTTCCCACCTTGGCTCAGGCGATTAGAGGATCATCAGGGGTCCTTTTGTCCCTCTGTGGGGGGAAACTCCCACTAGGTTTATATCTGGGACTCTCCACCATTTGACCTTAGAACTGAAGAAGCTTCTCGGATGAGAGGTGAAACGTCTTCAAGCAACTTAAAGAAGTCCAGACGCTTTTCTTTGCAAGCTCCTTTGACCTCAGTTAAATACCTTCTCCAGGAACAAAATGCAGTACACAGCTGTTTCACACCTTAAGGGTCACACTCCCTTGCTGCCTCCCAGAGTCCTCGAAGACACAAAGGATTCTTCCTGTGGAGTCGTCTGCTCCCACCAACTTCCTTACTACACCCCCACCATTTGTCTAACTGCATGAGTGTGAGACATGCTAAAATCCAGTGGCACCAAGGTATCATACAATAAAGTAATGTGATTAATACATAAATAAAAGAAATTCCTATACATGTCCTGCAGAGGGGCGTGGCCACAGACTGAGGTCATGAAGACAGGTACAGAGCACTCGCTGACCTCAGTGTCAGCGCTCTGATGGATCAGCTGTTTGTGACACAATAACCTGATTAGACTTAATTATCCTGACAGCAGGTGACTTCCTGTCTGACATCAAGCCCCGCCTCTAACAGCGGTATTAGCTCCTGGAAACCAAAGAAGAAGAGTACCTTCCACTTTTTTTTTGTGTGTGATTTCTTTTTGAGCCTAAAAACTACTTATAATGTATTTTTTAAACACACAGGACTATAGTGGACAACAACAAAAGGACAACTTTGGTTTGAAATTACAGCTGAATTTAGAAAATCAAACTGGACCACTTTACAGCTTTAGAGCAGAGGTGGGGAACTCCAGACCTCGAGGGTCGGTGTCCTGCAGGTTTTAGATCTCACCCTGGGTCAACACACCTGAATCACATTACCAGGCCTCTGGAGAACTTCAAGACATGTTGAGGAGGTCATTTATCCATTTAAATCAGCTGTGTTGGATCAAGGACACATCTAAAACCTGCAGGACACCGGCCCTCGAGGCCTGGAGTTCCCCACCCGTGTTAGGGTGTCATTAAAAACCTTTAATTAGATGAAAAAACAAAAATCTTCATTATTCTTGTTTTCTGCTGTTTGCTACCAGGACGATATTAACCTGTGTATTTAGCTGAACAGACGTAGTTCTTCCACCATCACTGATGCTCCTCTCCTGGCGCCTCATTGGCTGTGACACTTGGTCCTTCACTGTGGTTCCAGTTGTTAGAAGACTCTGAGATCGATGGCTGTGAAATATAGATCAAAGCTTATGTGAGTTCCTGTGGGAACCGATCCAACCAATCACAAGTCGACTGCAGCACCAGTCTCTGGTCACTCCACAGACAATCCAGCCCCAGACCATTAGCAGCAGTGGGGGCAGAGACTTGTAGGCAAGGAGGTTTTGCCTGCTAACCTACCATCGTTGTCCTGCTGATAATTCTGGTCAGTGGAGGCAACCACATGTACTGACGTGGCAAAGAAAACCTTTGTGTTGGCAGGTGGTGTTTGTTGTTGACAGCGGGGTCTGAGGAGCAGCTGCCAAACCTTCAGTTTATCATCCATGTGCTTAATCGGACTCCAGTGTTCTCGGACTTCAGGCTCACACGAGTACTGAAGTACCGGATACTCTCAACACAGTAATCTAATGTGATACTACGCTGGATACGTTATCCTGGAACTAAATGATGCACACAGTTCGTGCTGGCCCACCGAGCACTGCCCCGCCCGAGTCAATCTCCTCGTCAGGTAGTCCTGTGTCTTCCTCCTCTTCGTCGTGTTCTCCTAGACCAGGCGTTACTCCTCCTCTTCATCCAGTCTGAACCTCCCTCTGCTGCGGTGTACAAAACCCTCTGCTTCACCTTTGTACTCCAACAGCAGCACTGAACCTGTCCTGGTGTCCGCTGCAGCTCACATTCAAAGAAAGACAATTTCACAGGTAATAACCATGTAATAAACACCACTACATGTAGTTACTATGGTAACAATAGTAGTAGAAGGAGAGTATTTTGCTAACCTCTCCTCTTGTTGGTGTGTCGGCGGTTTTGATTGAAAGGAGGTGGTAAACTGGTCACATGACATAAGTGGAAAGCCCAGGATGTGGGCTGGGTGGGCGTCACAGTCCGAGGATACACAGGTGACACGTACATGAACAAGTGGGCTGGCTCTCAGAAAGTTTCATGCAGTCGGGGCTCTGATGTCACTCACCTGTCCAGGTAAATGTGCGTTTCTTTCAGCTTCATCTTACACCGGCAGCTTATCTGACCTTTGTAGGAGTGTTTAGCTGATTTTAGAGTTTAGAAATGTGTTAACATAGAATGCAGAACTATTGTAGAGACACTGCCCTTAATATAATAAAGGCCTCACTGTGTCGTGAACTTAGGAGTAGATTGTAGGAGACCCCTCCCCCACTTGAACTGTGAAAGTAAAACAGAGAGGCGTTAATGCTGAGTGGAAATTCCCCAGAGGATGTTTGGGTGGGGGTCTCAACATTTGTAACTGGATAACTGGTCTGGAAGGGAGATGGGTTTTATGACCTAGGGAGTCACCTACACCCACAGTGTTTTAACTGTCACGCACACACATCCACACGCACACTCACTCATGTGCACACACATACACACAGGTATGCGCA